CTTTCTTTAACTGATCGCCCTTTCGCTTTATTCGCTGCACTCAGCAAATTCTTAAATGGTAACCTTGGAATAACTCTTATGATTGACAGGATTTGAAGACGCCTTCTCTGTGTTTGATGCAAACGGAAATGGCAAAATCAAAGTGAGAGAAGTATTCCCCCTCATTCGCTCACTTGGTCACAATCCTATTGAGGCTGCAGTGTGGTGCTACTTGAACGAACTGGACCTAGCAGGTCAGCTGGAACAGTTTATCTATGGCCGGCCCTTCCCTTGCGATTTGTGGGTATGGGTGGGGATAGGGAATGGCGGTGGGGTATTCTTTCTTCCTCTCTCCTAGACTTTGCAAATAAAAAACAGGCTAAAAAAGAATAAAACGAAAGCAATCATTGGCGCACAAATCTACAAAACAGTCCGATTTGTAGATCTCCAACAGTTTTGAGATGACGGATATTCGCCGTATTCGTTTTTAATTTTTCTCTGTCCTTTTTTTTTTCAATTGAAGGAAAAAGGAAAATAACTTTTGTGGAGTTCGTCAGAGTTATGGAGTCTTTGATAACAGATGAAGAACGCGAGGAAAGTGGTTGCATTGACGCTGTCCGGGTTTTTGACTCGGATCAACGAGGTTATATCAGCTTGAACGAACTACAAGTGGCAAATTCGTCGTACGGCCCTTCACGCGTCTACTTTCTTAAACTCAACGCTCTATAAAATGTTCTTCGACTAGGACTACCTCTGCCGTTTCAATTTTAAGTCCCACTCACCTAATCGGAATACTATTTCCTTTTTATTAAACGTCAAACGGCATACGCTCGTGATTATTTTCTCGGTATGGCCAGCTTCATGTGCGCATTGCCACATCACCCTGGAAGAGTATGACGTCATACGTGGGTAGATCTCTTGGTTCGTCGTGTAAAACACAACGGGGCCCCCGCGAGAAATGGTGCTAAATTGAACCACAAAGCAAACAACTTTCGTTACGCACAATTTTCCATCATAAAGGAAGAAAATGCCTAGAAAGAAATAAAACATTAATTATTGCCTATCTTTTTCCTCATCAGATTTCCAGCTACTTATTGACCGTCAATGATAATAGTTAGGATCAAGCAAAACTCATTTACAACAACACGTTTGTATTGTATGGATAATAAGAGCTGAGAGCATTAACTTATGAAGTAAAATTCCTTGCCTTGTCAACCATTGGTTGACCCCACGACTACAGTACTACGCGGTAAGACCGCAAGGTCATTTGGGTAGCTTTAAATCCTATATATTTCTAGCCTGCGAAAACATCCGTTTCTCCTCGCTCTTCGCTGCTGGGGACGTTTCGCGCGGAGGAACAAACGTCCCCAGCGGCGAAGAGCAAGGAAGAAACGGATGTTTTCGCAGACTAATATATTTCGGTCCTTAATTCGTGATATTTAGTGCATAAGATGAGCTCAAGAAACCTTGTGATTTTACGACGAAGGGCTCGCTTCATCACTGAGTTTTGCTAGTACCCAATTGGCTAGAACCCAAATTCCTGTGCGGTCTTGTCGCGAAGGCCAGTACTGCAGGCAAAGTTTATTGTAATACAGCTGCATAATATACCACAGGAAAGTACCACTCAGAAGCTTTCATTTGAAAGATTACAACATAGGGTTTCTTTCACAGACTCAAACTGAGAAAGTAACTACCTTGCACAGCATCATAAAAAACTCTAGAGGACCGTCAACTTTCAGGATCGTCTGTCTTTCCACAGTTAATACTTGTTTACATTGTACACTACAGTCAATCATTAATTAGGTTAACAATAATTTATAACAAAATATTAAAAAGCATCAGAAATTGGGACGTTTTAGGCTAAACTGACTTGTGCGCGTCCAGACATGTGGAGGCGAGTTGTGATAACTAACGATATCGGACTTCAAGAATTTCCTTATCAGCAATTCTATAATCGATAGTCATCCGTTTGTTCTGTTCAATGCTCTCTTCTAACATCCGTGTTATTTCGCGGTTGTTGTGACCCAGGGGTATCTTAAGATTCTGATAAATTTCAATCCCCGTATATACATTCACCACATGTCGTTCCCAGGCTACGCTCCAGTGAATTCCGGGCGTCATCACCACACCTCGGATCTCCATGATCTCAGCTTCTTCATCAACGTCGTCATCCTCCTCTTCCGTGGCCTGGTCTTTCCTCTCTTCGTTCTTACTCATGTTAGTGGTATCACTTTACCGTGTTTTCCTATGGTTAAACACAACCTTGTTTCCAGAAAAATCCTGGGAACCCTAGAAATGAGGTTGTGATTAAAAATACTTTAGCTACCTTCAGATTGCCCATAAAACAAATTATTCCGCTCTTCCGACACCCCGAAAAAAATTAAATACCCTTTACATTGTACTTCTAATTTGTTCTGGGAATTGAAAGCAAAAAAAGCAATACTTATGCATTTTTTTTGGGGGGGGGTGGGGGGTGGGGGTGGAAGGGAACAAGGTGTACTATTGAAAGTTATCAAGAATGAATCTTTTTTGGAAGAGACAGGTTATGGGGAACGGACTCCAAGGTAAGGCAGATAATAGACCTCTTTGGCTTGTATGTTTTGTTTTCCCAAAAGAGGTCCCAGGGGAACTTGGACCTTGTCTCTTCATAAATTATGCGTACATATGCACGTGAATTAGACATAAATTAACAGTTATCTAGCGTATTATCACATGGCCTGTATTGAGAATACAAAACAAGCAAGCTGAAGAGGTCTTTTGACTTCAACTTTTACAATTACAATAAACTAACTCCCACGGTCATAGGTTCTTCAGGCTTGGGCCAAGTGTAAATATATGCTGTTTAGTTCACTTTAGTACAATTTCCTAAACCAGGGGAAAAGTAAGTGCTTGAAATACACCTATCTGCGGTCACCTTCATTTCTTTCACTTTTAGGTGCATGCGTACTTCCATAAACAATATGAATGATCATAAGAGAGCGGAATTTTGTCATACTTTTGTAAAACATATTTGCCTAAAACTGAAAATTACCTGAACTGTTGTGACGCCGATATAGAAGAGCGCGCTGTCTTTGATGTCTAAGAAGCTATGCAAGGAATTTTAAACTCCAGTAGGGATTACTATTCAGATACTTAATTTTAAGGTCATAGTGACATACTAGCTGCACCGATCCACAGAGCCAGACAATGACGAAAATAAAATGCGTAGAAAGAAATTTCAAATGACTAAACCCTATTCCATTGCTGATAGTTTGACTAACGGTGCTTGTGACTGTTCGAAAACTGAATAACACGCTTAAAGACTAGTAGCACTGCATTGTTTACACGCAGCTTAAATGAAGTGCTTTCCGCTTTATATGAAAGAAAAGATCAACAGTTTTAATCTTTTGATCGCCTCGCTAGCCACTCCAAAGGGCCCTCTCGGTTTGTAAACTGTGTGGATCTTTTCTTAATAAGGGTCATCACTGTGGAACGTTTATCCTAACGAGGTATCGATTATCTAAACATACATAAACCATTAGCGAGGCCATATACCCTCCTAGGGAAATTTGGTCTTCTAAAAACAGTCAGGGACATGCGATATTCAGGTGGGGTACATACAAACCGTGAACTGTCAAAACTGCATTCCATGAATTATTTTTTGCTTCTGTTTACAAGAGCAAATGTTAAACACTACGTTGCTTTTCAGATACCCGATGTTAATTTATCTACATCTACTTACAAAATTTATCCCGCAAATGCAGACCCCCTCAGTCTCCAACTTAGTGTTTTGCGTCGATCCGATGACGAACTCTGCTCCGTGTGGGTGAACACGCAAATAGGCCAGCTGCCAGCTGTCAACAGTTATGTGCTGATAGAAAAGAGCCTGCGTGGTTGGCCCAAAGGAACAGTATGGGTCGCGAGACAAATGATGCGCGCGAGAGGAGAACACGCGCGAGGAGATAAGAAGCCTCCCTCGCGGTCATCGCTGCCGTTCCTGTTTCTGATTTGGTTCATAAACCTTTAATTTTTGTGTGGGTAGACAGGAAAATGAATTTGNCGCAAATGCAGACCCCCTCAGTCTCCAACTTAGTGTTTTGCGTCGATCCGATGACGAACTCTGCTCCGTGTGGGTGAACACGCAAATAGGCCAGCTGCCAGCTGTCAACAGTTATGTGCTGATAGAAAAGAGCCTGCGTGGTTGGCCCAAAGGAACAGTATGGGTCGCGAGACAAATGATGCGCGCGAGAGGAGAACACGCGCGAGGAGATAAGAAGCCTCCCTCGCGGTCATCGCTGCCGTTCCTGTTTCTGATTTGGTTCATAAACCTTTAATTTTTGTGTGGGTAGACAGGAAAATGAATTTGGTTCGGAAAACTGATGAAAGGACGACAATAAGATACGGATAAAATTTGAATGAAATTTCAACACTACTGAAACCTTTTGCTTTTTGTTTGGACTAAAGACCACGAGAACAAACAAATTCCGGCCTTTGACAGAGAGAGACAGCAATTAACATTCGCCAAAGGTCAACTGATGAGTCACCCATTATCTTGACGGAAAGGGGCATCTTGTTTCGTACAAAGTTCGCCTAGCCGAGTATTAGTGTTCCATAAAGATGAGCCATCAGACAATGTTTTGAATTTTCCGAACCCAGTACATCGTTGTTAAAAAAAGAAAAAAACTCTTTCAGGACATGGACCATTCAACCACAGGTCGGCAACCCCATGCCCAGGGCTTCTCAGGGAGAAACCATGGGAACGAGGTTAATTTGTTGGGTCCTGTTCGGATAGCCACACGTTTCTCGCCCTCAGTGACTGCCGACGAGGAGTTCGGGAACCCCGTACTATAAAATACAGACCGGTTTCTAAACTAGCTCTGTTTTTTATTAATAGCTTCTTAACATCATTCAGGGACCGCTGGAAATTTTTCCCGAAAATGTTGTCTAATGATTTAGTAAGCTTTTTGTCCATGTTGCTAAACTTTGTCGGATTAGCAAAATCTAGTTCAAATAACAATTCTTTCGGTCAGCGGTTATCTTCTTTAGCTCTTAGTTATTGCATTTTCTTTCTCACCAGCCTCGTTCTCATTTAACAGCTCAATATAATCGGCCTCATCTGTGTCCTCTCTTTTCAGTGATTGGTCAATCACCTGGAAAACGGTGGAGGCTGCTTTTGTGCCTTCCTCTTTTCGAACAGAAACTGGTGGTGGTTTTAATGTTTCATATGCGCAGTCGATGGCGGCTGTAGTTTCCTGTGACTTTTCTGTACTTGTCTGATCTCTTTTGGTGTTTGCCTCGAACTCCTCATCACTTATGATCTCGACGTAATCATGAATTGATTCTCGTAAGTTCGAACTCCCAGCTCCATTTGGGTGTTTTCTGTCAGTGGAGACCTGAGTTACATCCGGGCACCCATTTCTTAACAGTAATGTTTGATACAAATGCTTTTCTTCTTGATCTCCTTTGATATCTGTCGCAGCATTCTTTGTTGCTTCTTGTAGACGCAGCGAAAGAAACTGATAATTTGACTTTTTTGGAGATCTTTCAATGGGATGCTGATTTGTCTGCCCGTCTCCCACAGATTCTAAAATCTTCAGGTAGTTCGAGGAGGGTGGATCTAACATGCATGATTCTACTCTCTGGTACACATGTGGCTCTTCTTCTTGCTGACAAGCGGCATCACTAGACTGCGCATCCTCTTTACTTTTTCTTCCACTCCACCGACGAAGCACACCATCGAGTGTAACAACTTCCGGGGTGGCTGACGGAAGGCAACTTTCAACCGTGTCTATGTCCAAAGCAAAATTTTCGAACCCATTCCGACAAGTATGTTTGCGACTCAGGGTCCCGTGCTCAATAGTGGTCAGCTGACCTGTTCTTCTCCGCTTTACTCTGCAGCAAATGTAGTAAGTGAACCAAACATTGAGAAGGAAAGAGACAACTGCCAAGCAAGCCAGGAATATTATCACGATCACTGGTTCAAATACTGAAACAGAAAACAGTTTCCTTATGCCCTTTAATTATTTGAGTGTCAATGTATTTAGCATGAAAGTGCTAATTGCGGACACTATTTTTAAGTCTCCAACTGGAGACGGGACCGCCATTGGTCATCCGAGCCNTTCCTGTGACTTTTCTGTACTTGTCTGATCTCTTTTGGTGTTTGCCTCGAACTCCTCATCACTTATGATCTCGACGTAATCATGAATTGATTCTCGTAAGTTCGAACTCCCAGCTCCATTTGGGTGTTTTCTGTCAGTGGAGACCTGAGTTACATCCGGGCACCCATTTCTTAACAGTAATGTTTGATACAAATGCTTTTCTTCTTGATCTCCTTTGATATCTGTCGCAGCATTCTTTGTTGCTTCTTGTAGACGCAGCGAAAGAAACTGATAATTTGACTTTTTTGGAGATCTTTCAATGGGATGCTGATTTGTCTGCCCGTCTCCCACAGATTCTAAAATCTTCAGGTAGTTCGAGGAGGGTGGATCTAACATGCATGATTCTACTCTCTGGTACACATGTGGCTCTTCTTCTTGCTGACAAGCGGCATCACTAGACTGCGCATCCTCTTTACTTTTTCTTCCACTCCACCGACGAAGCACACCATCGAGTGTAACAACTTCCGGGGTGGCTGACGGAAGGCAACTTTCAACCGTGTCTATGTCCAAAGCAAAATTTTCGAACCCATTCCGACAAGTATGTTTGCGACTCAGGGTCCCGTGCTCAATAGTGGTCAGCTGACCTGTTCTTCTCCGCTTTACTCTGCAGCAAATGTAGTAAGTGAACCAAACATTGAGAAGGAAAGAGACAACTGCCAAGCAAGCCAGGAATATTATCACGATCACTGGTTCAAATACTGAAACAGAAAACAGTTTGCTTATGCCCTTTAATTATTTGAGTGTCAATGTATTTAGCATGAAAGTGCTAATTGCGGACACTATTTTTAAGTCTCCAACTGGAGACGGGACCGCCATTGGTCATCCGAGCCACGTGAAGGTCTCGCCGCTTGCAGTGCAAAGGGAGTACGTTCATTTTTCAGTTATGAAATAATGGTCCGGCCCTGGGAATTGAACACACGACCTCCCGCCAGTAACTGAGAAACTAACGACTCGAGCTTGCCTGTTAAGATACTCAATGCGAACCTTATGCTCGATCTTATGAACAAAATTCTCAAAAAGCGTTCTTTCGCCAAGTAATCGGCTCCTGCATTCGGTCAATACACATCAATGGTAATTTTTATTAGGCCTCGTATGATTAAACGTCCATGCAGTGCCTCCTTAAGCAAGCTATAAGAAAATTTTCAAGGTGTACACATTTACCTGTCTGTTATTTATTTGGTTGTTGTGTGATATTATTGTCTTGAACCTCTAAAAATGTATTTTCAATCCCTTGCTTTTTTTCCGTGGTCGGATGGAAGATGTTAACTTTTGTGGAACCCTTATTGTGCCTAGGAGTCCGTTTGTCGAAAGGCCCGGTAACTTTTCCCCATCGGGCCCGAAGGTAAGATTTAAAATCACTGAAAACCTTTTGAGTAGTAGGACAGTTCCTACCTCAAAAACCAGTCAATTTACTTCTTTTTTTTTGATAGTTTCATTGTATCATTTTCAAAATTATTGAAACTTTGATCTCGAGTAAAAACACGGCAAACATTAAAACAACTCTCCGGGCCAGAAATGTTATCGGGACTTTCAAGAAACGGGCCCCTGCAGGTATCACTCACCGTCTCAAACATTACCCCACCATATGTTAAGCAACGCAAAATATCAATAAATTTTACCAGTTCTCTTGCCGGGTGGAGAGCAAAGGACACCAACGTCCATGCTGTGGTCACACGACTTATTAACGACATAATTCCTCCAGCCACCATGTTCACACTCAAGCAGTGATCGCTCATTTCCTTCACAATCAACATCTTTAAGAAATATTGCGCCTGAGCCTGCACCAAACCCTGCCATAGGAACAGCGGCGACTTCATTAGAAAAGCTCAGCTGTTTGCAAATAACGCGGGCGTCATTTAGGTTCCAGCCCTTGTCGCATATTGTGCCCCAGATCTCCCCGTCTTTGCTGATTTCCACTCGTCCGCCATATGAAAGGGTGGATCCCTTCAAACGGACGTGAACTGGAGAAACAAAAACAAATAATGTTGGCCTTTACTTGTTTGCAAAAATGACGGGGTCATGGACATGATAGAATAGTGAGTTAACGCAGCAGGACGGCAGGAAGAAGAGGACGACAAAACACTTGTGTGACAAACGCTACAAGGTTACTACTTACGTGTTTTGTCGTTACCTTCACTTAACACATATGTCTTCTGGTCCTTTACAAAAGGTTCTGTTTAAAAGAAAGTGAAATTTGCTGAAAAGTTGTTTCAAGCAAAATCATTGTCACGCTTGTCACACAAGGTTTGCCTTCTTCTTTCCTGGCCGTCCTGTTGCGTAAGTCCACTAATGCCTCTTGCAAAATTGCTGCTATTAAAGCATCTCCCCCACCCAGGAAGGTTTTGCTTGTGAAATCTGGAATCCTGGGCCTCGGCCCAAAGAATCCGGAATCCCGCTAACTATTGGGATGCGGAATCCAAGTTCCAGAAATCCGGAATACAGTACTCGACTGGAATCCGGAATCCGTAGCATGATAATTACACTGAAAATTAAGAAGATCTGTTTCAGCCCTAAAATGTCAGTTCAGCCCTGTAGGCCAAATTCTGATTCAGCCCTTCCTGGAGCCATTTGAGCACAATTTAGACCAAAAAAGCTCAATCAAAAGGCTATTCCAGCCCACGGTAGGGCCCATTTCAGCCCTGGGACTAAATCAGCCCTAGCTAATTGGACTGTATTGGCCCTGATGTAAGGGAGCCAAGTAAGACTCAAACATGGGACTGTATTTTACTCACCGAAACGGCCCTATTTTTAGGGCTAAAACAGATCTTTCTGATTTACAGTGTAATTATAGTGTATTATGATATGTGTTTCTTACGCTAAAATGATACGAGTCACAAACCTAACGTGTATTAAACACTCATAAAAGAATATCTCTGTCCCGGTTTTTAACTAAAATATATACGGAGGATCCGGTTCTGGACTCTATGGGCCCAACACAATTTTTCCGTCACTTAGCTTAATTTGCTCAAATGTTGCATTAGATTAGCTGTAGCACTTTAGAAGAAATATTTGACTTTGATATTGGAGCTTAATTTTTTACCTCTCTCGTCGAAAATATTCGTGTTGCCAAGACNACAAACCTAACGTGTATTAAACACTCATAAAAGAATATCTCTGTCCCGGTTTTTAACTAAAATATATACGGAGGATCCGGTTCTGGACTCTATGGGCCCAACACAATTTTTCCGTCACTTAGCTTAATTTGCTCAAATGTTGCATTAGATTAGCTGTAGCACTTTAGAAGAAATATTTGACTTTGATATTGGAGCTTAATTTTTTACCTCTCTCGTCGAAAATATTCGTGTTGCCAAGACAAATGCCCGGAGGGGGACTCCGCATATGAAAGGGGTGGGGATGCTCGAGGGAAATTTTGAATTAAACCCCTAAATGAGACCGATCTTGGCGTGGCCCGGGCTCTTTTTGACCTCTAAAAGAGACCATGTTAAAACACAGACAAATGAGAAAACTTGGATTATATGAATGGAGTAAATAAAACGAATTAAAAATATACATATCAAATATATATTTTCATATTTTGTCGCGTGCAACCCTAAACGAGACCTTCAAGGCCAAATATGATGGCGTTTTGCCCAGAACACCCTAAGTGAAACCAAAATCCGAAATCTAAACCCGTAAAAGAGACGACGAGCATCCCCACCCCTTTCATATGCGGAGTCCCACCCCCGCGGACAAATGCTTCGATTTGATTAATAACAGCAGGCCCAAACCAGTTTCCTTGAAACAAAAACAACAAATTGAACAACAACGACAACGATGGACTTACATCCAAACGATTTTTGGGTAAACTTGTCTGTTTGTAACAAGAAATTAAAGTTCAATTTACATGTAAGTCTATTTTCATATAAGGTATGTGGGGATTAATTAGTAGCTGATTTATTTAGAATTTCTGCGAGTCAATGTGGGGTATTATCCCCATAAGGTATAAAAGCCCTCTTCGTTGAATAAATAACAAACCATTCATCGGGTGTCAGTTGAGTTTACTAAATAGTGTCAATTTACATTGTTTTTTCCTTTATTTTCGTAAAATGAAAACGTCAAAAGGAAGTCGAAAGCCATAAAAGGACTAAATTATTCAGTCTTGTACCGTATACTCATCGCGATACCCGCTTTGAAATAAAAATAAATAAAAACGATAGACTCCACTCGTTATTTTAGCCAAAACTGCAAAGAAGTTTTTAAAAAGGCATTATGAAACTTTGTTCTGTAAAGAACTGATTCAAATTTGATGCGTTTGAGGTCAAGTCGAAACTCTGAAAAAAAATAATCCGATAGTTTGTTTTTAAAGTAAATGTTTAAAACTGCGACAAGGGATATTCAATCTAAGATATACCACACCTTGCGCCATAGAAAAAGTAGAGAAAAGGGTAAAGCGGATGCGACCAGAATTCTTATTCGAATATTTCGGCATCTCTTTCTTGGACTTCTAAGCTGGAATGCTGATCAAATGACGCAGGAGTTTTGACGCAGTTTTAGTTGGAAAGGAACTTAGCTCTTATAATTATAAATGAATGTCATGCCATAATTGCGTAAACTGAAGAACGTCTCTTTTGAGTCTCTTGACACCAAATTTTGGAAATTTTAATCCGCCCAAGTTCATGCATTTTTCAGTGGGATTGTTTCTTTTTTTTAAGGCCTACTTTCTTTCAGAAAGCCGCTCTTTTCCTACCTTCCATCTGTTTGTTGCAGACATTGTTTGTTTTAGTATTTTGATTTAGAAACGATCTATTTTGATCCGTGGGGAGACAATCGTCGTACCCACTTCTTGCAATTTTTCTTTAAATTTGTTATTAAAAATGAATTAAAATCTTTATTCAGAGGTTATAAAATAATTTTTAAAAATATACCTTACGTTACAAAGATTAAACAGCATTAAAAAAGAACTTAGATTAAGTTGTTATTTGCCATTCTATGTAGGGGGTTTCTGAAGTTGATACCCACCTTTGCTGGAGGTTTTAAAGGTTTACAGTTTTAGTCCACAAGAAAGCTTCTTCTTACCTTTGTAGTCCGCTTGAACATCCTCACTGTTGGTGAAGTTCTTCTTTCCTAAGATCTCTTTGGTAGCAACGATGAGAAAAACCGTAATAAAGCAGGCATTCATGGTGAAATTGCGGTTTGTTGATTTTGTCTTTGTAAACACATTTTTAACTAAGAATACAAAAGAAGATATGCCTTCCCATGTCATAGCAGTCACGATGTCACGAAAATGCCCTGTCTTGCATGGGTGACAAAATAAGGGGGACAGGGGGTCCAAACCCCCCTCTTCCCGTATTTTAAATTTCCTGCTCCGTCTTGGCTTCCTCCGCTTTAGCCCTTTTTCGAATAGAAAATATCAAGCATTATTGCGTCATTTCCCCCTTTTTCGCCCGCTTCCCACCCTTCTAGGCTCTCACTTCCCGCGGCCTTTTCCAACCCGCCCCCCATACCCCTCCCGGACCCAAATTCGCCCGTTTTCCTAATTCCGTGTCCTCCCCAAATAGCCATATCATGTCCTCTTTTTTTCCTTAAACTCACTGAATTAATAAATAATAAATAATTAATAGTTAATTAATAAAGCCGTGGTGATTGCAGGCTTCCTCGTTTTTGAAACCTACGCTATCAACGTTTTTAAAGCAGGTGTAAAATGCCAGGAGACACGCCAGAACTTTCTCCACCCCGAGTATTTCTGTGTTCTTTATCGAACAAATAGACACACCAATATACCCCCCCCCCCCCCGGGACCCCGCCCAAAAACGGGCCCTTGCCCCGTATCCTAAGAGGGGTGGGGGTGGGGCCATAGGGGGGGGGGGGTCTGTGGAAAAAAGCCTTTTTCTTTTGTGTTTTCATTTCATGTCTTGGAATATACACAAGATCGGCACAGAAATAAGTGATTAAATCCACAGGAGGCACCCACACCATTTCCCCCCCCCGTTATTTTCGTTGTTTTTTAGAAAAAAAATAAACACCCCACCTACCCCCCCCCCCCGGGACCCTGACCAAACACGGGCACTTGACTCGTATCCTAGTAGGGGTTGGAGTGGCGCCATATGGGAGGGGGGTTCTGTGGAAAAATGCCTTTATCTTTCGTGTTTTCATTGCATGTCATAGAATATACACAAGCCTCGATCAGAAATAATGGCGGGGAATGTGCTGAATGGGATGTTGGATTTTTGTTTAAATAACTCCTGATGCACCTTTCAGTTACGTTCGTTCACCGTGTTATGGAGACCTTCCTTTGACGATCAAGCGTTCCTTTTAAGCAAATGTTCTTAGTGGGCTCAGGTAATCCACATCATGGAAATTATTTCGACTTTCACATCTTAAGACCACTGGAACGTCTAACCAACCGCTCCGCGTTCTAGTATTGAATCAACAGGGTGACAGGGGATCAAACGGTTCTTGCTAGCAGGGGCGTTGTTACCTGTACGTAGGGTACGCAGTCTTTAATGATATATTTAGAGAAAAGGCGGGAAAATAGAGCGCACAAAGCAGAGGGTCACAATGGAGTTAAACTTCAACCGTCAAAGCTACCACCTCATTGAGACCCTCGCAGCAACCTCGGCTATTGTCTTCGCAGTAAACGAAGTAGGGAACATAGGGACAGTGTGGCAAACAGCGGTAAGAAAACACTCATTTGTAACTATAAGTCTGAGATACCTCTAGCTTGATGGCTTTATTCATAATACAGAAAGCGATTGACACGCTTCAGTTAATGAACCCAAACATGCAACAGGCGACAAAGAACTTTACAACTTACGTAGGTCCTTTCATTTACAGTAAAAACGCAAAAGCACTAACAAAGTAACCTCACCTCACAGAAAAAGTGTGAAAAAAATGTTTGTTTAACCATTAATGCCAAAAAAATGCTAGCATAATCGGGAAGGGGCTAGTTCGGGGGGAGGAGGGGGGGGCATAGGGTGTATCCCGGCATATCCTTGCTACAAACATGCTTGCGTCAGCCCCTTCATCACCCACCCAACCATGAAAGGTTGTCCACACCACGGGGTCTACGTCCCCTACAATCAACTGACAGCATACATCAGACAGCTTGTATCCTTTTTGTTTACATATACCCCTAGTAACAAGAATCAAAGCCTTAGTCATCAATTCAATTCAATCCCAACATCCTAGTATCGCAAAAAAAAAAAATAGATTCTAACTGAACACTGACCGTTTCTAGTACTTTTTCATTCTGTTTTTCTTGAAAATAGTTTTTAGTTTTTAGACACACAAATATATACAGGCGACAGGCAGTCTTTAAATCTTTATAGACCTTCATTAATCCATCAATTTACTTGTCGGAAAATAGCCTGAGAGAAAGCCACTCAAGAAATGGCGAGGGTTTCATTGGTTCATTTTTTTTACTGAAAAGTTCCAAAAGGGACCTTTTCCTTGTCACTTGTGCTGCTCTTATTTTTGGAGGGCCTTTCTTTAGGGGACGCTCGCCTTGAAGGTACCATAATAATGCTTTCCATCGATCCCCTTAAAAAGGCGCTTGTAGGTCTTGGTGGTTTGGCCCCGCTGATCCCTTGCTCGTCGAACTCTATCGCAATTGTAGGATTTTTGTACGAACAGGAAACTCTGCGGGTATTCTGCAGGGTGGTGATAAGATTTCCAAGCTGCTGCACTGATTTCACCAAAATTATAACCACGACAGAGAGTAATGCTACCAGAGCTACAAGAACATAGGAGAGGATTCGCACCGGGTCTTCCATCAGAAAATGCTTGTCACTCTGACCGTGAATTGTATAGTGTATTATTCCAACTTTTGAAGAATGCTTTTCTTTTCTGGAATTGTGTACCTACCATCAAAAAAGATCATATATTTTCTAAGCTTATAAAACACCGATCTTCGAACAGGCCGCAGTGAAACGTTATACCAGATCTTGATAGCTATAATCCACTTTCGATATGTTAAATTCTAACACGACTCCGAGGCTTTCTGGTCATATTTTTATATTTGCTTTGGTTTTCTTTGTGCTCAAATCTCTTCTGGGAATTGCGAGACAATGGAGTCGAGAAAAATTGCAATTTTGTCCAGAAATCTTCGGAGTCAAGTTAGAATTTTAATATAGCGAATGTGCAGGGCCATTGATTTATACCTCCATTGCAAGAGTACAAACATCCGGGAGTAAAACCCTTAAAAGTACCCGGAGGAAATGACGTCATGCTTTGGAACTAAATGAATACTAAATAATGATTGTAATGTTTTCCCTGATTTTTTTTGCCTTAGTATTTTCTTTCGTTACTAAAAGGTTCTTTTGCAAATTCTTCTGACGCGCATCTGTCATTTTTTACCTGCATTCAGTTTAAAAAGCTAAAATATAATCACTTTGCTGCCAGGGTCGAAAAATACATCCGCGATGCCGAGACTAAAGCTTCGGGAAAACGGTCAACAAACACATGCAATTTGTTTTGTAGCATTTCGGCAAAACGAGTTGAAAAGCGGCGACGTTTCGCGTTTTACAACCCTCTTTTAAACCTGTAGTTAACTCCCTGATTTGTTGCAAGACAGGTTTGATTTTTGGGTGGTAAAACGCACAACATCGTTATTCAACTGGTCTTGCAATGTTGCAAGACAAGTTGCATGTTTTTTTTGTTGCCCTTTTTACCATATACCTAAAGACGAAGTGTTAGATCGAGATTTAGGACAATCACAAGAGACCTTCTTGGTCTGTTAATTAGTACGTTTTTCTCCTTTGGTTAAGAACATTTATTTAGATGGCTGGCGTTATTTGCCTTGTTGTCAATGCCATGCAGTTACCGGTAATAATTTTAGATATTGATTCGCTTAACTGACTGAAAATGTTTTGCCTTTGTTCACAGTTTTAACAAACACTCAATAAGCTCCGTTTTTTTTTCAACCAGCCCACAATGTTTTGTCACTTCTGAAAAGAAAAGTGCTGGAATTAATTTTACAATCGGATTATATGCATTTTATAACCTTAAAAATAAAATAATTGTTGTAAACTTGTGCAGGGACTCTCCTCGTAAAGCACAAAAGGGTTTGGTGAGAGCTCCTGCCCAGGTATAATATTATTCTATATTATTCTGTAATAAGTATGTGAAAGGGCAAATAAAAATAAATGAAATAAAAATCATGAAATGAAATTGTCGTGAAGTACTACGCCATCTTTGTTCCAGGGGTCATGGCAACCCAGACAGCCGAGTTTGATCTCCTCGCACGGCTTGGGCACAAGCTCCTCGCCTCATCAAGTTAAAAATAAAAAGAATTTACGTCATGTATGATATCTAAATATGTTACATAAAAAGTTGCTTTGGCTATGTTATAAAAAGAGCGATAAATCACAGTGAATGTTTTCCCGCGGATCAGTCCTAGATCCCAAGATGTCCTAGCTACGAAGGCCTTCGCAGAGGCCGGAGATGCCTTGGATACCACAATAAAATTACGAATTCCTTTCCGTACGTACCTGGCCGGCTTTTTTGATTGTCTCAGTCTCAATTTCCCGTTGTGTATGTCAATGTAGTCAAAACCCTCCGTAGAACCTATTCATTCTTTCAAACGAGGATAGCAAACACAGCTTACAATCTGATTTAAAAGCCAGGAAGTAGTCTCTCTCACGCGGAAACTATCTTGGGTAAATATGTGTCACGTGAAAAAATTTTGACCTCTCGTTAGTCTATCTAATGTTTACTATTACGATAAAATGATTAACTGTCTCACAAATTTAAGGATCGAAACTAGTCATATACCTGTTTCGTTGTTTTTGTGGTCAGCACAGTTAAATGTAACTGTTCCGCAACCGGCTAGGGATCGTTATTACTGATGAGAGAATTAAAAATTATCTTGAGGAAATCAAATATAAAGGCTCACACACTAACTGGCTTAATTTCCGCCTCATATCAGTTACACTCGTAAAGAATGTAACTGAACAGGAGCCCATATCCTGCACTGACCTATTTAATTCTTAATTTTCAAAAGATTTCAATAGAGGTTCTCCTTCTCGACATGCAACTCTCTTTTAGGTCTGCGGACAGTTGTCTTACGTGAATCCCTATCCATCGAACACCTCTGTGACTTACCTTGGAACTTCTTTTCGGGGGACACCCTTGCGATTATGGCAAGTGTCCCCTGAATGGAGCTTGGACTGGAGTTTGTTGAAAATAAACCAACAAATAAAATATTT